AATTGGCAATAATAGCATCTCCTTCTGACGGCCAATGACAAATTGTGACTAGCCCAGTTATAATTATGTCAATTATGTGCTATAACATTATTGAATTGTCCTACTGTTGTGCAATCTCTAGTGGTTAACACGAAAGGAAGATATGAATACCTGCAAAGGTATTTATTATTTTTCGGCCACTTGGCATGAATTTTGGCATTAAATCATGTTCAATTGAATATGTAAATAAACCAATGGAGATAAATAAATAATTCAATTATGGGGATTGGAGCTTCTGATAATTTAGCATCTTCCTTCTGTAGTTAGTGATATTGGCTTTTACATTTATTTAGTAAGCATTTGGGGTTTCATTGAATATTGTTTTCAAGTAGCCATGCTCATAGGCAGCAGTGTTTGTCAAAAGTAGCAAACAAACATGAAGTCAATCTCTGAATATAAAACAATGACATGTTTTGAAATATTAATTGGTTCTTGTCTACTTTTGGAGGCATGTGCCTATGTTAAACATTTCAATTAGTAAACAGTCAATTGCTAATTAATCACTTCAAACCCTACATGTGTGGAGCTGTATCACTGTTGAGTTCTCAATAATTGACAAAATGACTTGTCACCAGGGATGCAGTGACAATCTGGCAGTTTCTACATTACTTTTGCTTCCTTGAGCTAAACCAACCATCTTTGTCTGCTTGAAACATATCCAAAACTGGTGACTTGATGACATTATGTACATTAACAATAAAGGGTGACATACAACTTGGCAAGATTGAACATTTAAAAGGTTTCTTTTCTCCTGTAATCTCCTAAGATTGTCTATTTCTGTTGTAAATTGACATTTTAAAATATCATGCTGACTAAAGTTACTTGCTCTTATGCGTTTGAAGTTTTGAACAATAATAAGACACAATTTCTTATAATAATATTTCTGCAATGTTTGACCTTTAACAATCTGATGTCATTGGCCAAAGTTTGCCAAATGCAAGTTAAGAGGCCTTGAAGGCCCCAGTGAAACAACATTTGAACAATCAATAGCCCAGGAAACACAATTGTTATATGAACATGTCTGGGAGGTTACATTTTTGAAGATAAGTTTAGTCTAAAATTGATGTTGGTCTTTATTCCCCCAAAGGAAATGGCTTGTCTATTATTTGATTTTATCATCTACTTGTGGTATTAATCTCAAAAGGTTTTCATTTTTATATGATCAAAGCCAAGTGATGTAATGAAGCATTTACCATCTTTAATGTTATCATTATCCCTGGGTATATTTTCAACATCATAATCACCATTTTAAATGTCATTGTTTTAATTCTAAAGTCGCCGTGATCGAGTTATACTCAGATGTAAAAAAAATTCAATCCTCAAAACCTGATGTGATCTTCATCATGGCTAATGTTGTTTTTATTTGTTTAATTGAAAGGGTTTGAAAAGGTAATGATTACTTTGGAAGTAACTGTTCTATTGTCGATGATACCTCCCTTCGTATTGGTCCCATTATTGGTGTATCCAGTCGATTTGCTGGGATAGGTGTATAAAAGTATGGAGTCGTAAAACTGCAGTAAAATAAGCACTGGCATTTACATATAATACAATATTGTTAATGAAAATTGAGGAAACCATAACTCATCGTGATGCCTATACAATGGTCCTACAGAATATTGGATGTTAAGTGAAAAATCACTAATGAAAACAATTTATTTGATATCATAGCAAAAGATTACGATATTCTAATAAAAACAATACTGGAATTATGGCGACCGAACAAACGATGAAATCATTCTTCACGCTGATGCTATTTATACAAAAAGCTTGATTAAAATAACATAGCATGAGATACAAGGACATATAGAATATCTTATCATTATACACAGTGAGAAATTCAAACAGCAGGCTCTAGTGGACAACCAGTGGCTGACATTATTCAATTAGACCCAATTTATTTACAGTTTGAATGAACATGATAAGTAATCTAATTAGAAGAAAAGGAAAGTGAAGTAATTAAAAGAAAGGGAAGTTTATGGCTTGAACGCTTGGTGACATAACAGTATATGTTAAAGGAGAGGTGTGAGATAACAATACACCCTGGGGGGCTGGCATGTAGTTTGCAGGTACAGATATAGGTGGGGCTGAAATGTTCATAGGTTATTCTTACTTGAGACATCTGCTGTTGAAGACCACAACAATTTCCATAAACATTTTTGAAAACTGGGCTTCAATATATAAAGACGCATATTTTGGGAAATTATTTGGACTGTTGTAAATATTAATAATGAAATAAAATGGAACTTCAAAAACTTGAGAACTTGGATATCATTCAGTAACAAGGATTTGACAGGATCTAATACACAAATTACAATTTACTATTGTGACCTTTAACATCTGTTTTGGAAGAAGAGCTGTGTACTATCATCTAACCTCATAGGTCACTCAAGATATAGCCCAGGGCTTGTAATACAACCTTCCTAGTCTTTTGTATTGATCAGGGAGAGATGATAGTGTGATGAACAGCTAGTTGTCATCCAAGACACATGCACAGGAACTGAGGTGACCTTTGAATCAGATGACATTATTTTGAAGAAACAATCACATGATCCCCATTGATATCAGTGTTGATTGCTGTGGCTCTCCATATATGTGTGGGCAATGCAGTGTTAACCACTTCACCTTATAGATGCTGACTTGGGTAACCTCTTCACCTCTTCACCACTGGAATGAAATGGAGTAAAGCAGCCAGCAGCTGGCATGATATATAATTTAGTGATACTATAAAGCAACGATGGACATGAAATAAAAAACAGTCACTTGAATAGATTTTAATAAAGAGTATACATATACTCTGCTTATTGAAAGTATTGATGTTTTAGAAAAGCAACCATCTGGATTTATTAACCTGTTTATGAAAGCGAAGAAAAATATAACATCTTAGAGGATGTTATCTTACATAATTATCGATTAACACTGTTGATCATTACACAATCTTAATAGAATACATGTAATTACATGCAATCAAACACTTAGCTTGTTAACATACATGTATTATAGACACTGGGATAATCCCATCAAGAAATATACCTGGAAATCTATTATAGATTAGTGTGATCTAATAAAGAGAGGTTGTGACTTTGGCCACAAAATTAATCAAGTTAGTGATGATATAACACAGATATATGGTTTCGGTGCAATTAGTTTATTGTTGTGGTCTAGAGGACGTAGATATTGATTAAGTAGACAGATGAATTAGTCTTGGGCAGAAATCACTTGATATGTAAACGGACTGTGATGCGATGGAGATATTACCTGAAAGCAACTGATGAGCTGCCTATTACTGAGTTTGAACCAAATCAATACACGCACGACTAGAAAACTTTTATATAGACACAAAAATTATGGAATCAATTTTGGTTGTAAATTGATTGAAACGTTTACTTGAGAGGTAGCAGATTGATCGAGTTAGGGTTAGAAGTGATAACTACGGGAAACAGAGCTGGACTGCACTGGTGTTAGGATTATCTGAGATTATTGCAGAACAGAAAACAATCAGCACTGCATCTCATTCTATATGTGTGCCCAATTAGTATACTTTAGAGATTATTGCAATTATTGTAATCGTTGTTCCCTCTTCAAAAGGGGAGACGCGAAAATCTTTCCTTATATGGTCAAAATATTTCCCATGATGCAGTTCGCGGAGGAACAAATTTATACTTCCTTGTTTTCCCTCATAGGTTTAACATGGGGATTTTCACACCTATTTTTCAAACGATATATTCGTTCATATTCCCGTACGAGAGAACAGAAAAAATTATAAGAAACGATTGATCTCTTATTAATCTTAATACAACAGCTATTTTTTCATTGTATTGCCTTCATAGCGTGGTGAAAACGATGATTGAAAAGTGAGAAAATATTCCGGAAAAGAAGGTCACGTGATCAGTTGACTAGTCGCCATATTGGAAAAAACAATTCCATTCGACTTTCAATACTTTCATGCCAATCTTACCGCACTTCAAACTGCAACATCGATGCAACAACTGAATAAAAGTATTCATCTTCAAATTACATTATAGAGTTACGTTGAAAACCCACAAACAACTGAGCAGTAGACCAATGAAGACTCGTCGCTATTATCTAGGTCAATCTGTTCAGTGGTCCGAAAGCAAATCTATAGTACTCGTTTCCGAATTTTGTCAATCTTTTATTGATTAAACTCGATATACTGACTATTAAAGCAATGACAAAGAAGAATACTTCCGATGGTGTCATTGTTTTATTTAGCGTGCGGGTGTAAAAACAAAATTGCGTAATTAGTTTCATTTAGAACTTTCGGGTCACGCAAATAGTCTACGCGAAATGCATAGTGGGAAAATATTGACCTATCAAATTTTGTCCTTTTTTGAGTGCTTCTTCACTGCATATTTGCGAACGTTCTGATTCAAAAAGCGAACCGCGAAAGGGAGAATTAAGAGTTGTTGAAAGTTTATTGGTATTTCTCTAAGCTGGCACTCTGCTAGGGAAATAAGGTCTTTCATCAGGCAGGGTATTAGGCTTTTAATTTGTGGCTAAAACATTAAGGAAATCAGTGCACACAAGTACTCAAGACACTTTACCACTCATGTGTTGGTAAATAGTACAAATACAGAGTAGAACATCCATTATACCTGACAGTGTGGAAATATAGAGAAACTACAGAATTGATATTTTCTCAGTTTTATCTACACCAGACTGGACATAGGGATCAAGAAAGAATTTGATTATAAAAAAACATAAAACTTGGAACTCATATTTTGGATATTTGCTTTTTATTTACACTGATGAAGTTAGAGAGATAAATAGGAGACCACCTTGTGTTGTGGAATATATTATCTTCTCAGTAATATTCTGACATTCCCAACATTTATGTTTTACATGAAGATACACGGAGATATGATAATAGGGAGATTTATGTCTCAATTCGCAAGCATGGACCGCTACTGGATAATAATGCAGTTTCTCCTATTTGTTTGCAGACTCAGTGATACGGTTCCTATGGCGACCACTCAAGCACCAGGCGGTAAGTAAAAAATATATTTTCTATTCTCATTGTTTTATAAATGGGTTCTGTTTGTAATTTACATATCAGTATTCAGCTATATTCTATATACTATTCCCATTTACTGTAAATGCAAATAAAATTTAAGGGTAAAAGGTTTTTGTTTTCTCTAGAGCCAAGCAATCATCATATCCTTTGAGTCCAATGCATCCTCAGTCTTCTATTGCAAACACAGACATGATGTACCATGATAACTCAGTTTATAAATTGTTTAATTCAAGTCCATGGTAATTCCGACTGTACCTTTTGAAACCATCAGTATCCAGAGATACATCTGCATATCTAGTAATTTACAGAGAGTGAAATATGGGCTTATTGTGTCTTACTTTAGAAGGCAAGCTGCTCATTTTGTATTAATTCAATTATACTTGCTTTAGTTGATCAGTATGCAACTGGTGTCTGATGATCTCTGAGAAATAAGTGAATGCAAACAATGCAGTAGCAATCTCAGTGACTCAGCACTCAAACACAAGTAGAATTCTCAAAGAGAAAATCCAATCTAGACAGTCGGAACACAATTTCTTGACTTCTCGACTCTTTGCAAGACCTAAACTCAGTCTAGGTGCCTCAAGCTAGAGATAAATCTACGGTCTAATGTAGTTAGTATGAAAATTACAATGTTTTTCACTATATAAGAATCAAACATTATTTTCTGATTTCACGTTCTTCTATAAAAGGCCATTCAAGATCCATTTGAGATTTTAAAGATCTTATCAGCATCAAAATCATCTATAAAAGTGAGAGGGTAGTGTCTCTAGTTGATGGGGATTCAACATTTTTTCTAGTCTAGCTTCAACCCTGTATACAGCCCCCTCCCCCATCCCTACCATATACATACCAAATCTGACCCATAATGAAAGTCCACAAGACTGTTGCTTTGAATAGAAACAGACCAAAATACAGAGGAGGCCAATATAATACAGGAATCTGGCAGAATCTGTCTCCTGATTCACAATTTATAGATTAATACTTTTCATATCACCAATTGTTGAAGTTGGTTTCAACAAAGCAGACATGATCAGAAACCTTTTTAAATAGACAGTTACTATCCATAAATGTTATTTATCTTCATTATTATGACACTCTATTGTCATCTTATGACAGCAGTTAGAGGGGATGTCACTTTAAATGAACTAACTTTCCCCCTGAGAAATTATGCTCACTGTTAAGTCTGTGTAATATGTCAAATAGGCAACAATAATATAACACATTCAGTGATAATCCATCATGTAGAATCTGATTGAATTTTACCCAGATTTTATTATTTTATTTCTACTAGAATTTGCTCATCTGGAGGCGCAACAGGGTTCAAAATCCAGAAAAGTCAAATCGTTTTATATCCTTTAAAGTAGATTATTGTTAAGACATTTAGAAAATATGTAGATCTAAATCAGTTGGAAAGTTTTATTTTTATGTTTTTTGTAGTTATTCTGTACATTTTGATGAATGGGTATCATTATTTATATCACCATTTTATTTTGTATCCATCATTTCACCTTTTAACTGAACAAGGTTTTATCGTCTTAAACACGAATGTTATCCACTGTGTGTCTGAGTTATACAGAACTTTACAGCCAAGGAGTAAAAAACAAAAAATGTATCTTGTCTGACTGTGTAAATAATATAAGAGCAGTCCGTAGAACACGAGTTCAGCCCCCATGTCAAAAATATATCATTTTCTTTTGAATGGAGATCCTCCTTGATAAATTGGAGTCATGGCACAAGTGATTTATCATTCTAATAAGATAAAGTGAATGCTTTTTTGTTCAAAAGTTTTTTGAATTTTATCTTGTGGTTTCCTGATCTATTGGACATTATGAGCCATTACTTATGTCTTCAAATCCCATTTATTAATACACTTTTTCAAGCTGACAGGAGCTTTTTTGATTTGATTTAAAACAGAATATATTCATCAAAAATCAATCATGACATGAATAAAAACTGTTTTAAATGTTTTTGTTTGCATAAAGAGGGGTCGGAAAAGGTCCCTAAGTAGTGTCCTCATCGACTGATTCTATCAGCGTTGGTTCAAAAGTAGCATTCCTATGTTAAATGCGTCCATAGAATCCAACACAATTCCTTCTTTAACTGATTTTGATCACATTTGTATAAATCAATGAAATGTATTAACTCTAGCATGTTATAGAGAATCACTGCCCCAATCAAGCTCGGTTAATAGAATAACTCTATTGATCAAATTATTATCCTTCGTATTAAAAAAGATTTTTTCGAGATATTGGGGTCTAATCAGGCATGTTAGTAAAATAACATTAAATTAACCCTTAGTAGTATTCTGTTCTTGTCGAAATCATTTCAAAATGTTGATTTTGATTGGGGATTCATTGAATGTCCAACAGGTCCCAGTAAATCAATGAATGTTTATATTGGTCTCAATAGGCATACAAAAAGAAATGAGCAAATGTACATATGATTTACTCAGCCCCGGGCAGTTCATGATACAGCTGCTGTTGTCATATCTACAATTAGCAGAATCTGAATAGTTCTTGTCTCTTAAGTTCTTTACCATTTCTATGCTCTTTTGCAATTCAATGCATTCATAAAACATAGGAAGGTAGATTTCCCACTAAAAGCTTCTCTGAATTGTTTATAAATATTACTATGTGTACCTTTCACTAGTGATAACATGAGATTCAGTCCCAGGTGTTGTGAAAGTAAATGACCATTAATTATAGCCTACTCTTCCACATTAATCATAATTAAAATCCTTTCTAAAATGAAGTCAAGACTATTTGACCAACTGTAATTTAATGTCTTAAAAAATCACCTTTGTAATAAGAGGGCGGTGGTTTATGTGGTATTTTCTCTTTTACTTTCCATAAATTAAAATGAATCGGAGGAGATGTCATCGATCATCGTAAAGTTCAACCTCACTGGACATGAGGTTTCTCATAAAAAGACCTCAATCATTTAATTCCAACACTTTTGGACAGTAATGCAAGATTTAAGGAAATACTGATTAAGCGCAATACTTTCCAAACAAACGACACATACATAAATCCCAAAGCGAATAGATTTGTTTCATATGCTATACACATTTTGTACTTTTCCGGGCTAATAAATTCTGAAAAATATAGTAGAAATACATTGGATCCAATCTGCTGAGATTAAAGTGTAAAAGACAAATGAGGGTAAAGGTCTGACAAATGGTGTATAAGTAGAACACAGTCGAGCCATTTCTCCCCAATTACTTTCTTTATCTCTGCTATCTGTAAGTCTTACTGATCCTATCTCCATGGTGATGATTGCAGAGTCCTGCTTAACTTCATCATTATTGCCTGCTGCAGTATCACCACTCCCAGTATTATAGGCGAACTCCTGTGGATTGAATTTTATTGGATGTTTTGTACAGAAAATCTTTTTTAAATCATGTAGAAAATAAGAGAAAAAACTGCTCCCATAAGTGTTAAGAACACCCAGTGTGGCGTAATAGATGATTTATGGGAACAGGGTTTGGGACAAATTTTGTGAAACTGCCCAATGAGATCTTAGATGTTAAAGTCAGAAGTCAGTTGTCTCGGGTTATTTCTGTTATTGCTTCTGACTGCCTCCAGGGGTTAAGCTACTAATGATGATTAGAAAATAAATGACCAAAAATCTCATAAAGAGAAACGTGAGAAGGCGAGTTAAGATGATTAAATCATAATAAACCTATAAGTAACATGTCTTGCAGCTGGAGGTGGAGACTTGAACATATCATATTTGAACTTGTTGTCTCTTGCCAGCATCCTAGAATCATTTTAATAGCTGCCTGTTGCACTTGTGATAACATTTAATGCAGTTGAGCTCATAATGCCCCCTCCCCAACTTACAAATATGGTTTAGCACGTTTATAATTTTTAGAATTTTGGGCTACCTCAAAATAAGTTTAGAGTACCTTCAAGACGTATGGTCAAAGTCAGTCAAAACTTCCCTGTACTGTACAGTACAGAATGCCTGAAGATGCACTCAGTGAAGTCTGTTGGTTTTTAAAAGTTTTGTCTGCAAGATCAGGTTTCATAATATTGTTATCTCTTGGTTTTTGCTGACCAGGGGATATCATATCTACAGAGGGTCTTCTATGATAGAAACATGTTGACAGCATTGTGTTTGTGTTAGAAGATTCCAATAGGATCTAGAAATAAACAAATGAGCTTGTTTGGTCATTGAAAATATCTTTGCAATTTACTGGACACTGTATGATATGAAAAAGTTTTTGTTGAAGTATATGCCAAATTCCTATGAAGGAAGGCTTTACGAATGTCATCTCTTTGGCTCAATCTATCTCCCCCATCTGTTTGGAATAATTGTAGAGATAAAAATACTGCCAATGTGTTATACATGTCACAAGAAAGTAGATTCGATTTGAAGACATCTTCAGCATGTTGGATTAATGAACCAGAAATGTGATCTACCCTAAGGTATCTTCTTGGAAGTGAACATTTAAACTATGCAAAGAAAGCTTAGTTTTGTGGTAGTTTAGTGGTATTATCTAGTGGTTTTATATAGTGGTGCTACTAGTGGTTTATATAGTGGTGCCAATAGTGGTACCATATAGTAGTGCTACCTAGATGTGCTAACTCGAGGGTACAGTAGACTCATATTGCATATTTTCAGTTGTTAGACTCTTTCTCTGGATATACTTTCATGTTTGATATTGTTTAAGGTGATTTAAGTGTAATAGTGCATTTCAAATGTTGCCCCTTGTGTGTTCTGATCAGTAACAAATATGTTTTGTATTAAACCATTCATACCGTGTGTCTTCTTTGCAATCTGGTATAAGATTCATTCTATTGCATCTCAATTCATACAGCTTTGTAGCAATCCTAGATATGACACACACAGTGGAAGATACAATAGATTCTATTTAGATTTATTTCATAATACCATAATAACACACATGATCAACCATTATGATCATGATGAGGGTTCTATGGGTGGATGACTGTACAATATTGATCAAT